AGGCTAGTCTATGTAATCCACACTTTCCAAAACAATGCATGAGCAGAAAACAAGGCCACTTTTTAAAACTCACATTTCCCAATGTCATTCTCCAGCTAAGTAGTGTGTGCAAAAAAAATAATAATAATGCACCACCTGAGGTGAAGTGTGCATAAGAATGCATATAGTAGTGAAAATAACATTCAAAATTGCATTATATTAAGGGAAATTGCTTTGCAAAAATATGCATGTTAGGCAACATTGCATGCAAACATGTACATATTAAGATTTGCACAAAAATGCTGTGGACTTTCCTGGGGCCTTCCCTTAAAGAACACATGCATAATTTAGGAATTGTAGATCCTGGAAATCCATCCAAGGCAATAATGTGAAATAAGGTTTGCGTCCAAGGCTGCCATGTGTAATTTATTATTTACATAGGAATGGGGAACTTTTGGCCTCCAGATGTTGATAGAATCCAACATCCAACAGCACCTGGTGGACTGACCAATTCATTCAGGTTCTCTGTAATCTCCTTTCCTTCCTTTAGCACACCTTTGACTCCTTTGTTGTCCAAAGGTCCAACCACTTCCTACTTCTGATTTATGTTTCCTGCTTCTGATATATGTTAAATTTTATTTATTTATTTTGGTCTTTGTTTTTAGCAGTGTGCTCTTCAAATTCTTTCTTTTTCTTTTCTTTTTGCATGTGTTGCTTTCTGCTTGTGTTACTTTTGCCAGAGTTTGTGTTCTTTATTCTCCTAATTCCGCTTTCTAAAGGAAGTCTTCTTCCCTCTAATGGCTTCCTTGACTCTTCTCATTAACCACACAGACATCCTGCTGATTCTGATGCCACCTTTCCCGATCTGCAAACTGAGCTTCTCTTCTTGTGAGCATGATGACCACCACCCTCGCCCCCCACCGGCAAACATATTTGACCCTCATCACTTTCCCTGACAGCCTCCTTGTTACTCATCTCCTGGTTTTTTGTTTTTTATTTTAGAAAAAAGTTTCTTCTTTTGAAGTCAAATGTGACTGTGTTGGACTTCCTTGGCCCTTGGCCACTTACCTATATATTGCATTTGATAGAACTGTAGTCACTGTTTTCAACACATTAGCCTTTGGCTAATAAAACAGTCTGTGAGCTTTTAAACTGCGGGTGGGTGGGTTATTGTTTTCGTTTGTTATTATGGTATGCATGTTTGTGTTTTTATATTGCAAACTGCTCTGTGATCTTTAAATGAAGGGTGGTATAGAAATTTAACTAATAATAAATAAATCTCATACCAAGTCCTGGGCACCACTCAAAATAAAGTCCAGGGTCATCACCCTTCTGGTTGGTTCAATGACCAGCTCACAGTCTACTTAGATATGAAGAAATTTTACATCTTTGTATTAACCAGAGCACACATGTAGCCACTTGAGGGTAATTGAAGTCACCCATTACTACAGCAGTTCCTACTTTGGATGCCCCTTGATTTCATTCTCCAGCTCAATATAATCCTGGACATTTTGGTCAGGGTGCGGGGGGGACAATAGTTGATCCCCAGTACTCAATTGCTCTTAGGACCTGGTATCACCACCTACAGCAGTTCTGTGAAAGAGTCTGCCCCTTTTTCAAACTACAAGCTTGATGAGCTCAATGCCTTTCTTGACATACAGAGTGACACTACCTCCAGTGAGCCCTTCCCTGCACTTGTATCCAGTAATAAGTGTGTCCCATTGGTTTTCTCCATTCCACTAATATTTTGAAATGCCTACTCTATGTTGCCCTTCCAGCTCTAGCTCACCTATATAAGCACGTATATATGCTTCAAGCCCGGCATTAGGGAAAAAGATTCCTGCATTGCAGGGGTTTGGGCCAGGTGACCTTCGTGGCCCCTTCCAACTCCAGAATTCTATGATTCTATTTCTCTCCCCCAATGGGGTGAGGGGGCTGCAGGTGCATTCTGCAACATATCACTGGCACAATTTTGATAGATTGATACTGAAGCATCTGCACATCATTCTGCTTTATTAATTGTTTCCAGGGCAGTATTAAGACCTTTAGATGCTTTAAGACTGCAGTGCTACCCATATGTAATTCAAAAAAATAAAATAAAAAATACTAAACTGTAAAATGAAACTTTTTGAAATGACACATGCTGAAATGTACATGCATGTATGTCGCATGCAGCACAAGGCAAGATATGCTGTCCTTGCATTACTTCTGTCAACCTCAGTAGGGCGCCCTGTGGTTTAGGTGGGGATAAGTAATAAAAAGAGAACAGAGAAATGGGGGAAGAGTTTGGTGGCGGGTACGGAAGTCCAGCAAAGTTTTGTTTTTCCCCATGGTGACTACTTTGATGCTTTGAAGGGTTTTGGTTTGTTTGTTTCATTTATTTATTTTTTAATATAGAATGTCAGATTCTTTCTCAAAAATTCTTCTGCATTTTGTGCCTCTGCTTGGCTGGTGCTTGACTCTGCCTACTGGATAATGCAGCACTGGTTGCTATGCTATGTTACTGCTTTATTGATATCAAGAGAGGCACTCTCGCTCTATTGGGCAAAAAAAACCAACCATACTGGACAGGATTTCAGTAGGGCAATATCAGGGAAATGAGGCAGTATGAACACTCCCAAACATTTGCAGGCACTAACCGTATTGTTAGTGAATCGTGTATAGCTCAAATCATGAATAATGCCCAGTAAAAATGATGTGTCTAGGGACCATTACCCATTGGCACTTTGGCCTCTCTGAAAGGCTGTTGTAGGCTCCTGGTTCTGCCCTGCCCCCTCCCCCCACTTTTTGGACAATCTTATAAGCTTCCACCCTCGCCTCATAGAGATTATTTGTCCTGGAAAAGGGCAGCTCATTTCACCCAGCTATCAGTTAAAAATAACAGCGGATCAGGACAGCTCAGCTCTCCTTTGGAGTGGGGACAGGGGAGCGAGGGGAGCTATGACAATGAGCTCCTGCACTCTAAGATTGTCCGCTTCTGAGCTAAAGTGCTCACGATGCCTGATTGCAAAAGAGGGAGTGGGCAGCAATCGGTGGACCAATTTTCCCCATACACTATAACATAAACATCAGCAGCCTGTGCCACCTGTTGCTTTAGGCCAGGAGGGGGGGGGAACCTTTGGCCCTCCAAATGTTGCTGAACTGCAATTCCCTCAGTCCCAGGAAGAATGCCCAGTAGCCAGGGATGATGGGAATTGTAATTTGGCAATGTCTGGAGCATCAAAGGTCCTCACACCTGCTTTAGGTAAACTACCCAGGCAGAAATACAATGTAGGAAGCATGTATGGACGTATGAACAGATTTTAGAACGATATCTTTGAAAAATGTGGTATTATATTAAAGAAGGAAATATAGAAGGGTACAAATTAGCATTGCTATTATTCGGTGGCCAAAATGACAAAAATCCCATATAAGATTGTTGTTGTTTTTAAAAAAGGAACTCTAAAGATCTAGAAGCATGGTATAATAAAATATGAACAATTATATTTGCAGCAATACTAGCTGCTCAAGTCCAGGCATAAAGAGAGCAAAAGGGAATAGATTTATTTTGTGAAACTTGATCTGATTTTATTTGTTTTCTCAAGAAACAGGAGGGGGGAGACCACCAAAATCATAGAGAACTGTGAGAAGATATGCTTTAAAATATATTAAAGATATGAATTTGATTATATTAACTAATGTGAATGGTTGTCAAAATTGTTATTATTGTGCTCTGGTGATTGGTTTTATTGTAATCGCTTCCTGTGGTTCCCCTCTGATTTTTTTATTATTATTATTTAGGAAACTACAACTCCCCCAGCAAGCAGGGCTAATGACCAGGAATGACAGGAGTTGTAGTTCAGCAAGATCTTCAGGGCTTTAGGTAAACTACTCTAGCAGGGATGCAACACAGGAAGCTACCTAATATCAATTCAGGCTACATAGCTAGCCCAATATTAAGTGTCAAAGTAACAGTCAAGCAGAAAGTCTTTCCCATCACCTCCAGCCTGGTCCCTTTAAATGAAGATGCTAGGAATGGAACCTAGGACCTTCAGAGTACATGGTATTGTGCTCCACCACTAAGCTATGACCCCTCTCCAAACAGCAAAGTGGACTGCTGCTATTTCTGGGTTGGACTCAAGCACATCCTGGAAAATTTCAGGCTGCATCCTTACAAGTTCGAGTCCACACTCTTGCACAACCTCTTATGAAATTGGCCTTTTTTGTGGAAAATGCACAGAATAGTGGGCAATGGCACTTGCTATGTAAAATGTCACCTAACCTTCCCACAAACGTATCGGACTGGATGAAAAGCTGGTATGAAATAACTTCCGCCAAACAAATCAGGACAAATGAATGATAAACAGGTTGCTTGAAAGAGACAGGGGTGTCTGTCTCTCTGTCTTCCCAGGTCCTGAGAGGTTTGAATTCTGTAGTCCTGGGTACAAGAAGCTGCCTTATAAAAATGGTATATTATTGTTGTAAAGAAGCATTATAAATTCCCCCGTGGGTATCAGGAATGCCTAGTCCAGTGTGCCTGAAGTAGTAGGAACTTTTCTCCTTGTATTAAAGGTAACTTCATTCTTACACCCCCCCCCCCAAAAAAAAGAGTGGTGGGGGCTTTACAGGGGTTGTACCCACAAGTGTCCACATCCCAAGTTACTGAGCTAGACATGTGTCAAGGAACTCAGCATCTCTAAAATGGCTATATGTGCAAAGTGGTTCCATCTAACTCAGTATTGTTCTCCAGCTGGGATGGGGAACCTGTGGTCCTCCAGGTGTTGTTCGACTACAATTCCCATAATCCTGACTATTGGCAAGGCTCTGGCTTGGTATGAACAGGAGTCAGAGACCAACAACATCTGGGCAGTTACAGGTTCCCCCTGCCCTCTCATAAGCTAGCCCCAGGGCTTCCTGCCACTGTCTGAGGTCTGACAGGGTCTTTTCAGTAGTGGCATTGCACCTCCCACAAAGACTTGTAACAGGGCCTTTTCAGTAGTTGCACTACACCTTCCACAAAGACCAGAACAAGAAACGGATTCAAAATTAATATATATTTTATTGAATAGCTGCTTTGAAGTGGTTTCGAACACCACCCATAGAATTAATTTTTTTCAAATTTCAGCATTGTTTCAGCAACAGCTTAATTAGATTTGCGAGAGAAAGAGAGGAAAAGAGGCACACAACTAAGAGCGTTATAATAAATACATTAAGATGCAATTTTTAATAACTTTAAAATAAACATTTCAAATAAATATTTTTTTAATGGTAAAAGTGTGGTAAAAATATATCTATACACAATGAGATGGTAGATTATGAGCAGGTATTATGCTTTGTATGAGGCGAGGGGGAGGACACAATTTTAGAGGACACACTATACAAAATGCCTTTTTTTTTTTTACCCAACAGAGGGTGAGAGTGTCTTGAATCCCATAGTATTGTGGTCCTTTTGGATCTCAAATGCAAGGGGCCTTCTGGAGGAGGAAATAAACCTACTCAAAGCAGCCTGACAAAGGGCAGGTGCTTTCAAACAGAGGATATAACCTTGTTGTAACAAGGGGTCAAGGGAGAAAGCAGGCAACATTACTTCAGGGATTTGCATGGGCCCAGAGACCCAAAATATTCTTTTTTTGGCGGCTATGCAAACTAATGGGACCAAATACAATGCTGTTTCACCCTCGCAACAGAAACGGGAGCAGAAATTGCTGGTGTTCACTTATTAATCCCATATCTGGAACAGAAACCATTTTAACAAATACAATCGGTATTCACTGTCTTTGCTTTCAGTTTACTAGCCATACCTAACTGTTTGCGTCCCCCCACTACCACCTCCCATATATGCATTACATTTGCTTTGTATTGAAATGGATGACGTGGAATAACTAATGACAATGTGATTTACATAAGTTACTTAATTTTACCACAGTGGACAGCAAGACGATTAACACAGGTTTTGGTAGAAGAGGAACTGCAGTGCAGTGGAAACAGTGCTTCATACAATGAACACAGGGAGGAATGGAAAACGGAGCCCCCTTACACCCCTAATGACCATGCCTAGGCAGCAAGAGAGTCCATGGGTCTTTGAGAAGGACTCTACTGCTACACATGAGTGATTATTTTCACTTGGTTGGGTCAGACAAGAACCATCTCTGTTGTTCTGCAGACCCTCCAAGTGCCCCTATTTTCTAGGGACGTCCCTGATTTAGAGAAGCCATCCCAGTTTCTGATTTGATCCCGGAATGTCCCACTTTCCCTTGGGATGTCGCTATTTTCGTCGGAGAAATGTAGGAGGGTATGGAGTTATCCGACCCCCCCCCAAGCCACCTGACGCCAATACTGTATAGGGAAGTTTTTTTAATGTTTTATTATGTTTTTATATATGTTGGAAGCTGCCCAGAGTGGCTGGGCACAACCCAGTAAGGTGTGTGGGGTATAAATAGTAAAATTATCATTATGGAATGGGACGTCCCTATTTTCATCGGAGAAATGTTGGAGGGTATGTTGTTCTGACCTCTGCAAAAAACCATGCCCTGTTCTCACCCACTTTCGAAAAAGAAGCCACCCTTTTACCAGGGTTCTTTTTTTTGGGGGGGGGGATAGGGAAAAAGTTTTAGAAGGGAAAAAATAAGAGGCATTAATGCTTCCAAATCCACAAAAAGGAGGCCACCATGATCAGAAGTGGCAACCAAGATTTGGACGAAAAACAGCCTCTGGCACTTTCCACATTCCACTTAACACAGTGCAAGAAACCCCTGGAAAGAAGCCTCTAAAGTACTCCAATAAACAAAGCAGCCCGAAACTGGCATAATGCACACAGCTTAAGAGAGTCCTTTGGCATTAGCAGAAATGTACCAAGAAGCCAGATCTTGTCTATGGCACCATTCATAGCAGGTTATCACAAGCCATCATAAATGTATGTCACTAACAATTGCACACTCAAAAATATAATCAAAGCAACTTCTAAAACAATGAGAAGAAATTGGCGGGGTGTTTTCTGTGGTCTGCATGCTTGGGCACCCAACTTGCAGTGCCCTCAAAAGGAAGCAGCACCACACCCAACTCTAAAACCATTCCCTTTGGTGGGTCTAAGGCATGCCTGGACAACGTGGGATCATAGAAGGACAACTTAACCTAACAGTGGCTCAGTCACCATTCTACCTTTGCTGGATTGCAGAACCCCGACTAACAGGCCACAGGTTTGCAATCTGAGCAGCAGAGAACATGCTGAGCAGGCCTAGCTTTGGCGTCTACCTATCAAGCATTCATCCGGGATGGCAATGTGTGTGGGCCGTTTTCATCTCCTTTTCACTCCCTAGGTCCAGGTCTGGTAACCTGAAGCCCAAGGATTAAATGTGGCCCTCCACACCTCTGTATATGGCCCTTGGGACCACACGCCCCTTGAATGATTTCGCTAGACTGGAATGCGTCCTTGAACTACAATTAATGTCATTTGCTTGCCTAGACCAAGGATGGTGAGATGTCGTATGTAGCTTTTGCAGACTTGGAATCTACACAGATCAGCCACATCCACATGTTCCACCCACTTTTGCAGCTGAACCCACCACCACTGGTATGTGGCCCCCCCGAAAGGTTGTCCAGCATGGGAATGCAGCCTTCTTGCTGAAAAAGGTTTCTCATCCCCGCCTTGGTTAAACATTTACAAAACTAATATGAAAATAAGCAGAAGCAACATGCAAATTTAGGAACAAGAATGTGAACCAAAGGGTCTGAGTAACACACATTTTGTCACCACCACCCTCTCCCCACCCATTTTTTTATAAGGCCAGGGTGGGGAACCTGCTGCCCTCCATATGTTGTTGGATTCCAAGTCCCATTAACCCCCACCAGCACAGACTGTGGTCAAGGATGACAGATGTTTTAAGTCAATATCTAGAGAGTTGCAGGGGATCAGAGGGACTGCTCCTTTGACCACAGGAGACATGGGGTTGTACCTTACCAAGTTTTACTCAGAGTAGACCCATTAAAAGTAATGAACCCAAGGTAGTCATGTCCATTAATGGCAACAGCTTGCTCTATGTCAACAGTCCTATTCTCTACATAGGACTGGTCTTGGATATAACCCACAGGTTTGCCTGCTACCTGAAAAGGTATATATAATGCTTTGAGCTATCACACCTTCTTCATACCTCATCAGATCAGCCATCCAGCCAGCAAAGTGCTATCTGCATTGACAGGCAGCACATCTTCCAAGTTTCACACAGGAGCCTTCCCAAGCCCTTCCTGGAGGTGCCAAGTATGGAACCTCCTGTACACAATGTCTGCTCCTTAGCTCCTGGGTCAGTCTCTCCTACAAGTCATAGCATAAAACTTTCTGAGCCATACCTACATCATCCTTCTGTACTCAAGTGGAACCAAAGTGCTTTGGGTTAGGCAGGGAGGAGTCAATGACAAACATAACCCATTGCACTGCATATGTCCCGCCCTCTATTCAAATTGCAAGATATACCTAACTGAAAGCTAAGGTTTTCAGGCAAAGGAAACCATAACTCTTTTCCATTGAGCTTTTTTTTAAAAAAACAAAAACAAAAAACACAACACTCACTGTTTCAAAGAGAAACTGTGTTGTGGGTGCTAAATTTTAAAATAAGGATAATAATAATAATATACTTCTTGTACTCCGGCCATCTGACTGGGTTGAGAAGGCCTCTGCTCTTGAAGAGATGGGAGAAAGGATACATCAACCATAGAAGTGACTTTTGCCTGCAAGACACCAGAAATGCCTTGCAGTTTAAGATCAGCCAAAGGAGTCACTTCTGGCTTTAGACTCACAGTGACTGTCCATGGTATCTGGTACCAGATAAGCTTAGGAGGAAATGGAGATTGAGGGCTTGCTTTGTTTTAGGCTAGCAAGACTCTTTAAACTACCCCTTTGTTGCTACAGTGAATGATGATTCCAACTTTTGCCACCCCTACAAAAAGTAAAGAGGTTTTACCCTAAATTGGTGAACCAACCTTCCTTCCTTCCTTTCTTTTAAAAAAGACACATAAGCTTTTGGGCTTTCTCCTCCTTTTAGGGAGGCTATCAACCCTCAACAGTCTTGCATCTCCCCAGCCAGGAACTACCGAAGGTGCCCATCCCACACTTGGCCCAGCTACCTTGCATTTGCTACAGTTTTGCTAGCCTCTCCCCCATCTGCAAATTGTGCATGGCAGAAGGAGCAGAATACAAGCCATAGGCATGGGTACCAGAAGTGAAAAAATAATGGGTTTTGTTTTTTGTTTTGTTTTTACAATAGACTGTTTCTCAGGCTATCATAGTGCTTGGGTGAAATACCCTTTTCCTTTCTGGTTTTGTTTTGTTTTTAAAACCCACCACAGGAGAGCAACTCATAAGGCATTCTGGAGGTCAGAATCCTGAGCCATCCTATAGCAAAACTACACCCTCCCCCCGATCCACCACCACCAACCATGCTGATTTAGTGCATGCCTCAGCTTCCCACTCTACTTGTCCAATGTTGAGGACACATTAAAAGCCCTAGAGCCTGATCTTGCTCACAGGGACAATTTATATCTATCACGGAACAAGCTCCAAAGGGAGCTTGCATAGCTGGCTGGCTATTCCATCATTGCTTTGTTCCCAAGCTGTAAGATTCCAGCAGGGGAACCTGAAGGAACAACACAATGATGAAGAACAGCCGGGTGTTCCCCCCTCCCCCCCGCCCACTTCCTGTGGGAAGTTATACTGGCTTGTCCAAAGTCTTAGGGAGAGTGGCTCCACTGGTTGTGGTGGAGATCTTCCTGCAGACAGTATTGGTGTGGTTCTGGCAGCGACAACCAGGCCGCTTAAAGGCATCATAGCCCCACTGGCAAAGTTTGAGGCACCCCAAGGTAGGAAAGTAACAGCACAGGCAGGGCATGAACAAAGAGAGGAAACTCATGGCAGCCCAGCGGGCACAGCAGGATCCCGGGCCACAAGAGCAGGGGTCATCGGCACAGGTGTCCTCATCATCTGAGGAGCAGTGGTAGAAAATGCCCTTGACACAGCAGAGGCAAGTCCCATAGTCAATGAGGTTCTCTGGTGAGCAGAAGCAGCGCTTGTTGCAAAGCCAGCAAGAGGGCAAGCTGCGTGTCGCCATGCAGCGGGCACACTTGCAGCGGCCGCATTCCTCGCAGATGAAGAGGTGGCCAGCATGGGCGACATGAGGCTTCTCAGATGTCCCCTTCCGCAGCTCCTCAGGCTTTGGGTCGCCTGCTTGGGGCTGATTCCGGACAAGCGAGTGCCTAGAGTGCGATGGTGTGATGAGCCTCTGCTCTGAGGCTGTGGTGCTGTGGGAGATGGAGCTGGCAGTGCTGGAATGGCTCAGAGGCTGCTGGAGGGGTGGCTGGCCAGGCTGAAGGTCCTGGATGGTGGTGGGCACCAGGCGTTCCTGAGCCACCTCCTGCTTGTGGGCTGCTTGCGACTGGGATGGAGTGGAGGGAGCTTGCTTGGATGAGGCAGGTCTCTCCACGTAGTCATTGGTGGCACGGATGGCACAAATCTGGTCGATGGAAAGGACTTGCTGGAAATCCTCAGGCGCTGAAGCCATGGTGTCTTCAGAGCTGCGTTCAGTGGTGCTGGCCGGAAAGGGCATTCTGGGGAAGGATGAAGGCTCCAGTCAGCAGGGAACATCAGAAGGTCCTGCAGGAGAAGAAACAAAAAGCAAAGGGGGGGGGAAGTCCACCCCACTGTTAAATCACAACAGTAAAAGACCAATCGAGACATTTTGTTGGGGCAGAGGAGAAATTGAGACATCTATGCTCTAGCAGCCTTTCTCAACTTTTGGTCCCCAAATGTTGTTAGACTGTCACATGGAAGATGGAGCAAGCTTGATTTCTCCTGCTCTGAAGATAGGACCTGAACCAATGGATTCAAGTTACAAGAGATTCTGACTAAACATCAGGGAGAACTTTCTGACAGTAAGAGCTGTTTGAATGGACTTCCCAAGGAGGTTGTAGACTCTCCTACATTGAAGGTTTTAAAGCAGAGGTTGGATGTTCATCTGTCAGGGATGCTTTAGCTGAGATTCCTACATTGCAGGAGATTTTACTAGATGGTGCTTGGGGGCCCTTCTGACTCTGCAATTCTATGATTCATCCCTGACCACTGGTCCAGCTAGCTAGGTATGGTAAGAGTCATAGTCCAGCCACATTTGGCAGCCCAACGTTGAGAAACGCTGTGTCTGGCTGATAGTCTTGGATCAGGAACTTTTATGGAGGGAGGGGTGGGACATGCATCTCTTGCAGTGGGCTGGAACTACCAATTAAAAAACAGCAAGGCACAGCTGGTACTCATGAAGAAATATTGTGCCTATTAACACACATCAGGCAATTCGTTTTTTAAGCATTGCTATCACAGAATGTTGGGAGCCTCTGGAAATCTTGTGGCTTAAAATTGCAACCCTCCCTTTCAGGCAAGGTGGCACCTGGCTTGTACAAGGCATCTGATCTGAAAAACAACATGATCCCCTGATTCATCTGCTACTTTGTGCACAGTGGGACTGGGTACTCTTTCCTTTACATGCCCATACAGCAGGTATGGGGAACTTTGGGCCCTCCAGATGCTGCTGAACTGCAACTCCTAACAGCCACAGTAAGCATGGCCATTGATCAGGGATAATGAGAGTTGCAGTCCAGTAGCATCTGGAGGCTCCTCATTCCAGCCACAGAGCAATGCCTTCTCACAGTGTAGGAGACCCAGCCCATATCCCTACCACCATTTAATTCAGATTGACCCTTTCCAGAGAAAATCTGGCAAGGTTGTGGGGGGAGGAAGTTGCCCACAACCCCATCTGCAATATCTCAACAACCCATCTGCAAACCAAGCCCATGCTAGAAGTGCCCTAGAATCCCCAGAAGACAGGGAGGGGGAGGGAGATTCAGAAGTTATTCAGTATGGGGCAATAGACGGCTACTCAAACTAGGGTCCAGAACACCAAGGCTAGAAGAAGAAGAAAAATATCAATTTGGTTAATTTTTAATGCAAGCCCACCTAAAAGCCACACTTTCTGAAGTTATACTGGAACTGAAATGCAGCCATCCTTCAAAATTAACACTTCTCTGAATTTTGCACTGCAGTTCTCAGACCAAAATACACACATTAAGGGACAGTGTGTATAATAATGCAAGAACTGGTAACAATATAATACAACAACACAACATTAGGATAAATGGCTTGCAAAAATCTGTACAGCTGGCAAAATTACATATAAAAGTGTTATATTCAGAGAAAGAGAGAGAGAGAGAGAGAGAGAACGTGGGTGAATTTTCAGGACTTTTAAAAAGCATGTCACAGGTTCATGCAGAAATTTGGAGAACTGAACTTATGACTAGGAAAATGAGAAATGAATAGAGTCATCCATCCCTACCCATGGCTCTCAGGAGCCAAGACAAAATCATATTTATGCTTTAAGCCAAAAAGTCCCACACTGGCTATTCTTCCCTACAATTTTAGGAGTCTCTCCCTCCTTAGAGAAGGGGACTGGTCTTTCCCCCCCATTTTTAAGGTCAGCAAACTAGTCTCTATATAGGCAAGTGAGTCAATGAAGCCAGAGAAACTGGTAACAAATGCTGCCTGAGCAGGATGAAACGAGGAAAAGAGCAGTGGGAAGATTGATTTTTGTTAGCCAGGTCGACCTTGAAGAAGAGTGAAGATCAAGAGCCATCTTCCTTTGATTGCTAAAAGCCAGCACTACTTTGGGTGTTCCTCCTGCCAAAGGGGAAAAAACAGCTAGCCCAGATTCATTTAAAGCAAAGTTGAGCTTCCAGGCAAGGCAAGATGAGCTTGGAAAGAGTTGTAGGATTAGGTTGGGGGAGTGGAGGTGGCAGGTGTGAAGATAAGAGGGACCAGAGCTTTCTTTGAATCAGGCCCATGTGTCATAATGTGTCTTCAACAACTGAGCATGTGCAGAAGGCTTCCTTTTTTTTTACCAGAGTAAACACAGGAACTTTAAATACACAGGAACCTTAAATATACAATACAGGAGAGGGAATTGTAATGACTGCCAGATTTACCATACATTTAAAGCACATGGCTTCCCCTGAATAATCCTGGAGACTGTAGTTTGTTAAGGGTGCTGGGAATTGTAACTCTGTGGGCGGTGAACTACAGGTTCCAATATTCTTTGGGGATGCCAGGTGCTTCAAATGTGCTCTAAATGTATGGTGTGCAGGTTACCATGCCCAAAAAGGGTGAAGGGTGCTACCTCACCAACAACATGTGCTTTATGTTTTCAGCTCAGCATTTTCTTTGCAACACATTCTCCATTAGGAAGCCAACATCAGGGGTCAGCATTATTGGGTATCCATCAAACCCCACTCACACAATTCCCTGGGCCTCCTGGCTACTGCTCCTTGTGGTTTCTGCCTGTTCACTCCCTTTCGCCAAACAAGCAAGCAGTGGGAAGAGTAAAGAGCACATACCTTGGTTCACTCCTGCTGGAAAATGGTACAATCGCTGACCACAGAGAGTGGCAACAAGTGGATAATAGCGTCTATGGTGAGGTGTGAACTCAGAGAGGGGGAACCCACGGCAAAGGACCATTTTCTTTAACAGCATATTTTTTCCCCCTACATTCAATATTTCTACACCCTCATTTCTCCCCTCCCCTTTTCTTCTTTTTCTTCTTCTTCTCCATTTCCGTTCCTTTCACACACACGCAACACCCCCCCCCCATGCTCACCAAGTTTGGCAGGCAAAGAGCACAAGGCTTTCACTCTTCAAGAAATTCATGGCAGTAAAGCTCCTGGATGCAGCTGGGTGATGCAGCATGGCTGGCTGGCTGGCTGGCTGCAAGAGGCTGAGAAAAGCAATACCAGCTCCATCATGCACCTCTAAGTCCAGGGAGGAGGAGATGCCATGATGTGAGTTTCCTGGAAGACGTTGAGTTGTAAATATTTCCTATGCAAATTGAGGCATTTTGCTTCGGAGTGTGTGTGAATTCTGCTGGCCTGGAGTGTGATCTAATTTAGCATGCTTTTATTTTACTTGTATTTAGGAAACCAGAGTTTAAAGCTCTGAATTTGCCAAGCTTGCCTAATATTGCTTTTGCAATTGGCACCCATTAATTGTTGCTTATGAACATGTGAAATGGAATTTTTTCTATGGAAAAACAGTGCACTGGGAAATTTTCTGCCACTGGATACAGCAACATTGTCTCATTCCCCATACCCATTATACATCACTCTTCTCATGATTGTTCAGGAAAGAGCTGCAAGCATTTGGTATGTAGAGTTTATCTGTTGGACTATAAACAGACAAGGAGAGAGCCATAGTTACCTGCAGGGCTCTGCTGAAGTACACCCCCATTCTGGATGGTGGTGGAAGCATCTCAGTGCCAGAGCAGCCCTCCTCAACCTGGTACCCTCCAGATGTTTTGGATTACCACTCCCATTGTCCTTAACCATTGATCAGGCTGGCTCTGGCCAATGAGGGATGTAGTCCAACAATATCTGGAAGGCTTCCAGGTTGAGGAAAGTTTTGCTTATGCATAGAAGCTAAAACAGGCATTGCACAAAGGGCAAGGTCCTCCTTGTGCAAAGGAAAAGGGTTATCTCTCTCCATATGCATATTGGGGAATTTGCATGGCTTTGTTCCTGCTTGCAAAACCCAGCATGTTTTTACCCATTCCTCCAATGGAGGATTTGCCCCACTTTCACAATGCTGACATGGACCTTTTCTTAAATCAGCTTCCCATGCAAGATTAAAAATCTACATTGACTACTACAGAGTGCATACTATTTCTTTTCTGTATTCTGCCTCATGTTGACAAGCTGCATTAAGTACTGCTAGCTGGCAGAGAGGGGAGAAAGAGGCACATGTAAACTCTTTCTGTGAAGACTGCAAATCCAATACCCTCTTACCTGGGAGTCAGTGCCCCCTATGGCATGTATAGGACTGTATTGTTAGCATGAGATGCATTCCAGCAGAAAGGCACAGTGAAGAGGAAGCTAAGCTAAATGGGTAGCTAAGCCCTGCCTCTGGCACAAGTATGAACTTCGGATCAGGTGCTTCAGAGAGTGAGTTGGTGCAGTGGTTAGAGTTTTAGTCTAGGACCTGAGAGACCAGAGTTCAAATCCTCATTGAGTCATGAAGCCCACTGGATGACGTTGGGCCAGTCACTGTTCTCTCAGCCTACCCCACAGGGTTGTTGTGGAGATAACATGGGAAGGAGGGAGAACTATGTATGCTGCCTTGAACACCTTAGAGGAAAGGTGGGATATAAATGTAACAACGACAACCACAACCATCACAGTGAAATGAGCTCAGAGCAATACAGCCAGCAAGAGCAGGCTTGCCTGACTTGGAACCTCACAGCCCCTATTCTGGGCCAGTAGTGCAATGCTTGATCTGGTTGACAACCAATCTTATCAACCAGGATTCCCGCCCCCCCCCCCCGCAAAAAAAGCTGTATATAGATGCAAGTAAAATCTCCTATTCATCTGGGTTGGTCAGACATATCGCTAACTCTCCAAGTAGCCTACCTCACAAGGCAATTGCAAGGATGATTTTTTTTTTTTAGCTGAAAAGCTGTTTGTTGGGCATGGGTTCAATGCCACAACTTTGAACCAATAAGCACCATTCTGTAGTCCTGCAAATTTACACTGCACAATCTGAAACTTCGAACAGGATGCACAGACAGGACTCAGCAGATTGGGTAGCCTGAGAATCTTCATTTTTTGTTAAGCAATGAAACACACAGTGCTTCTAGTCCTTAAGACCACCAAGGGAGGTTTGAATGCACAATTTCAGCTTCTCTCAGCATAGAATTTCAGCCACCAATGTGCAGATGGCCCAGCTGAGTGGTGGAGACCATGCTTTTCACACAGCAGGTACCTGGTTCCACCCCCAGCATCTCCAGATAGGGAAGGGGAAGGTCCTCAAAGCCACTGCCCACCAGTGAAGATGATACTGAACTATATGGATCAATGGTCTGGCTCCGTATAAGGCAACATCTTAAATTTCCAGAAGCACAACCTTTCCGTAAAAGCTATTATTCACATGCTGGCCTATTTGAGCCCAAATTTTGACCAGACAACCTTTAGGACCCAGCAAGATTTTCCAGCACCAAACAGGATTGATGGAGGGAGGGGAGGGAGGGAGAAGATGAAGAAGAGAGAAAAGAGGATTGAATGACAATAAATTGTTTGCCATTCCGGATGCGATGAATCCAATCCAGCCGGCAGGAGGGACTGAAATAGATACTGCAGTGAAGGGAAAAGGGGAGAGAGGCAGAGAGGGTGAATAGAAAGGAGTTGGCAGCCGCAGCAGCTGAGTGGGGAAGCCACACTACAGAGCAAGCCATTGAAAAAGGATGGCAAAGCAGCGCCTGACAGACAAGAGGAGCTAATGACCCCCTTCGCTCTTCGGCAGAAGGCAAGTCACACACCTCTGCCAACCAGCTATCATGATTCCCCGACACCAAAGTGAAGAAGCAAGGTGGAAAGCAAGTTTAAGTGTAGCCCTCCCAATTTACAAAAAAAGGCTTCACTCAAGCCATGACTCAACTCGGGGACCTATTTCCTCCTTTGCCACCCCACAGAGCACCTGGACACTTTAAAGAAGAAGAAGAAAGTGCTTCTGACTGTACTCCCCATCATTTGTTGTGATGCTCAGCCCAACACACCCACAAGATATTGCACAGAAGGGCACACAGCGTGCAGTTTCATGGCAGGCTTAGTAAATCCTTGTGCAGCCTTGATTTTTACAAACCGAGGCAATGAGTGTGGACACTGGAGCAGCCATTTCATATGCTACCCAAATACTGTCCAGCAAAGATGATTTGTTGGCTGGGCTGCAATTTTGATTTAGCCCTAGGTTAGATTTGCTCACCCTAATGTTAGTCCCCACAGATCTATGGGGCAGCTGGAAACTGGCAATTCATTGTTCCTACACAGATCAGGAGAAGGGGAGAGAAAGTGATCATTTCCCCAGATGTTAACCCCAAAACTAAAATCATCCAGGGAACTATTTATCCCATCCCAATTTTTCATGAAGACTACTGTTACCTTATCACTAGAAACAAATGAATAAGCAGTTAATCTTCTGTGCCAGTGGAAGAGTTGGTCCAAGAAGAAGATATACACTTTTGATTTACACAAAATGCTTCTATTTAGGCAGAACTGATAAGCAGTTTGTTTGTTTTCTTCCTGAAACAGGGAGATTGACATGGATTTGAGTGTGAATATTCAGATACAGACAGGTTGGAGCCTGCACATAAAGCATTTCCTTCCATTCAAGCACACAAGCCACATGCATGCATATATATAATTGTTCTCCTTTTTCAACTCTATTCAACAAGATAGCCCTGCTTTATCCCAGGAGCATCTTTTCCAGCAGCAACCTGGTCCCATCCAGGAGGGTGTGGCCTAATTAAAAAAGAATTTGGATTTTTAAAACAATACTGATCTCTCTTGTGTGGGGTGGATACCTGTGAACTACAGGGCTAAAGAATGCTAGTTGCAGCTTCAAAGGTCCTCAATGAAATGCTTGCCTCAGTCACAAACTCACAAGTGCTGCAATCTTATCCCAAAAGCAGACCCCAGTGAACATAGGAAAACTTACTCCTGGGCTCACCTGCACTGAAGGTTCCTTGGAACCACCACATCACAGCCTCAGCCCCCCACCTGCCATAGGGAGTAATGCTACTTGCCTACCTTGCAAGGCTTTGCAAGGATTTCTCAGTGCCATGCCTGCAAAGCAATTTTAGCACCTGCAATATGCAATACAAATACTATGTAGTTAAAGCATTATTAATGGGCAGCAACTCCATCAAGCTGCTGTAATGGCAAAGGAGTTAAGGAGTAAAAGATCTTTCAGTAACTGGAAGCCTTTTGGCTAGCCAGAAATAACCAGTCTGCCTACCCTCTCACCCCAATTAAGGAGGCATGCCAATTTCCTTGCTTAATTTCTTTTATTATTTTCCAACACATCCCTCGCCCATGGAATTTAAATTATCCAGGTGTGTTACTGCTAACAAGTTCCCCTTTGCCTCATCAAGCATTCTTGCATCCTTTCATCACCACCCTTGATGGTTCAATCCCTCCTCCCCCAGCCCCAGTACTGAATCTCTCCCTCCAGTCCATCAGCCCCCTTTCAGGTTTTGCTTCCCAGCTGCCTGTAGGAGTTAGGAACACAGGAGGATGCCTTCTACAACTGGTCCACCTATCTCTGCACTGTCCACACTGGCAAGCAGCAGCACTGCCTGAAGATGCTGGGGATTGAATATGGGGCATTCTGCATTCAAAGCATGTGCTCTGCTATTGAATGAGTTCAGCCCTTTCCCTAAATGAGTTCATGATCTCCTTAAAAAAAAAAAAAAAAGAACAAGGAAAGCCCCACATCTACACCTTTTACCAGATCACATGTCACTTGCTGCAGCTGGCAGCTATAATCAGGTATGCTGTTTGATACCATGCATCTCCAACCCTAATTATCCCTCAAATCCTACTCTAGCTACAATGGACATAATAAACATCACATACGTGTCATCCCCTGCCCCTCCAAAAAAACCTGTTCTCCCTTCTCTGGCACATCTAACACCTCCCCAAGTTTATGTTTTCTGGATATGAACCCTCCATCACTCCTGCAAATAATTTAAAAGGGCAACATTGCTGACCAGACCAAGGAGCCCCTCGTTCAAACATTCCCTTTCCAGTAGTTGATAGCCAACACAGCTTGAAAGCTTTTAAGCTTCTAAGAGGCAAGGTCCCTTCCATTTGTGGTTTGCCTCAATCATTTGATTTTCAGAGGTATACTGCTTCTGAACTTGGAGGTTTCACCTAGCTACCACAGTGAATAGCCGTGGAGACTTCCATCACCCGTGACTTTGCCCAACCCTTTAACACATGCACACACATATATAAATGGCTATTTTTGAGCACTTTGACCAAAGGTGAATCTGCCAAACTAATCTGGGGGAAATGAAGGCATGGCAAAGACTATTATTAGGGGAGCAATAATTTTGTTATGCAATATACAAAATTCCAGTTTTGGGTTGAAGGTAGGTGGGAATCGACTGCACAATTTTCAGCAGGTCTGCAAGGATTTTCAACTCCTAATATTTACCTAACAATTAGTGAACCTGAACAATAGAGGTGGTGAACCCTCTTGGGGGGGGTATTTTGCTAAACACTTCTTTTTAGCCTCAGTGTTCCTCACCTGTGAAACAGGAGCATTAAACCAGATCCTGGTGCAGATTGTACAAGTCTGTGTTAACTCAGATGTAGATTTGCAATGTGTGAATCATGGGTGCAGGAGATAAATGGCTTCCCCACACACCTTTTTGCGTATGGCTCCCACACCCCCTTGTCACAATTTTGTAGCTACCTCTGGTTGGCGGACCTCAGTAGTCTAACAAAAATACATTAGTAGATCCCACAATCCTGAAGTCTCAACAACTCCGTACTCTTTCTAAATATACCTTAATATACTGTGGTGGAGAGGGGCGGGGGAATGAACAGGATAGGCAGTTCCGAAGCCCCATTAAGCCGAACAAGCAGGAGTTCCCCCCAACCAGCACATTTTGGCTTACCGAAGTGAAGCAATACACATTTACCCTCTAAAGAGGGGGTTGCATAGGGCCCTTGCGTCCAGAGTCTGAAATTACCTACCACTGCCCACCCCCGTTTAATGGATTATTAACTAATTATTAATCGTGTTAACGTTATCAATTATTTTATCCCAGGAGGGAACCGAGCCCCTCCGGTCGAGAGAAGCCGCTTTTCTAAAAGTGGCAGTTCTGCGGGGACGTCAGGTTTGTTCCATCACATAAGAAGAAGCTGTTCCGAGACAGCACTCTATCGCCGACCCCTGCATCAAAGAGCGACCCCGCCCAGCCAACGAATAGATCGTCCACAGATACATACAAGCAACTCTACCCTGAGACGAGGCAACACAAATCAAGGTCGCCTTCCTCCCACCCCGCATTCACAAAGAGATCCCTTCCAACAACTGAAATATCTTATCATGTCTTTACTGGCTAGGTACCTCCTGCCTCGCCCCATTCCATCCCCGCCAGGCCCCCCTCAAAGCGTGCCCAGGGCGATCCCCCAGGCCAGGCAGGAAGAAACGATCCGGCGGCTGCCCGATTATGGGTCAGAGCGCCGTCGAGTCCCGCCTAGGCAGGAGCCCGGCGCCACGCTGCTGCCTTAAGCAACTCTTCGCTTCGGGAAGCTGCTGCTGCTGCTGCTGCTGCTGCTGCTGCCGCCGTTTCTTGAAGAGACAAGAGAGGAACACCCGCCGCTCCTCCAGCAGCAAAGCTGATGGATCTGAACAGGGGCCGCGACTGTCAGCCAGCGCGACCCATGCTCGCCCAACAGCCGCTGCTTAACCTTCCTGATGAGGAACTCTATTGAACGCGAAAGCTCTCGCGTCAGGCAAGAAGGGAAAAGCGACGCTCCCTCCCAACACCTGGAGGAGCGCGGAGCATCCCTCGCCGCCGCCACCAGCACCCCGTGTAAAAAACACAGGACCTCTCCGTAGCGCAGGTGCTGGGGGTAAGAAAGAGATCGCAAGTTGCGCCGGCACTCCCTTGGTACCGATAAACCCTTCAGAGTAGGACGCGGAAGAAGGTTGGATGGCTCCATCCATCCATCCCTTCCTTCCGCGGGCACTCACCTCGACTGGGATGCAAGAGCTGTTATCAGATGCGCTCCCGCGGACTCCATCCAAGGGACGCCCTGGGGAGAAGCCGCGTCCGTGGTTTTAAGTACAGTCGCCGGGAGAGCGACCGGAGACGTTCCGGATGAAACAAGGCAAGACCCCTCCTTCGGGGCGGGGCGAGTCTCCGAAGGGGCGGGCTCTGGTTACAGCGCGTGGAGCTGTTTTTGTGAATGTAGCCGCTCTAGCCTGCGCGCTTGTGAATGGAGGGAGCAAGAGGGGGCGGGGCGGGTTTTTAGCTCCTCCCCCTGTTCTCCCCCCCACCTTCCCTGCTCTTCCTTTCCCGTAGCTCTTAATGCTACCCAAGTGGCGTCATCCAATTGAAATGGAATCGGCCCATTAGACGTCCCTAAAGGGATCTCGCTGCTGCTTGCCCGCTGATTCCAACCAGCCTTGCAGCAGAGAGTGAAAGAGAGGCGGTGGAGGAAGCAGCTTCAAGAGCTCAAACCAATCTCTCTACAACCCCAAAATCCAGAAGCTCTAAAATCCAATGTTCAATTTTGGAACATAGCAAGTGTTTTTTTAAGGCGGGCTTGCCTCTGAGCATGTACAGAGCCCCTCTCCCGAGTCATTAAAACTAATCTGAGTCGTTGAGGGAAAGGCTTCTAGGATGACTTATTTTAAGAAAAGAGAAATTCCGTCAACACTCTGCCTATCCTCAGAACTTGAGTTCTCAAAAGGCATTTTATTAGAAGTTATCCCAGTTTTCTAGGAAGTTAGGCACTCATACCCTGGTACCTGGTTGCACCTTCCATAACCTGCTTTCAGTGGCATAGGTCACGTCTGCCTCACCTACAGTAAAAATAAAAGGTGAGAGTACTTCTGAGCTTACACAGAGTTCCATAGGTCTATGCAGAAATCACACCTAAAATTAAAAATAGGAGGAGAAATTTCCATCTGTTTCAGAGGTATGTTCACATACATTCAACAAGTGTGCAGAGTGTTTACCTGTGCACACAGCAGTTGAACTGCCCAAATCAAAAAATGTACTCTATCCACATAAACCTGTAATGTGTGAACAGGAGACCTTCCAAGGCAGGCTTAGAAATGCAGTATTTCTGTTGTTAGCATTTCAGTGCTGGATCTGGATGATATTGGTATCTAACATCCTTACAGCTGGCATCAGGAATGCAGCTGGGACACTTGTCTTCCTAGAGAGATCATCTCTGGCAGCATCTTTTGAAAACCAGCAGGGTTTGGCTCTGCAACCAAGAAGGCCACCCAAAAATATATATATATATCACATTTATCTTAAGACATTTTCACATGTGGCACCCAAAAAACATTTCCACAACTTTGTGCCTAAAGTACACTGTTTGTGCAATACGTTTGTGAATAACCGTGCTGTGGGAGGCAAACCTACTGTTCATTCTACACGGTGCATGTTTTAACAGTAGCATTGCTATGTGTTCACACAGGCACCCAAATAGGCACCATTCTTTATATTTTGTGTGAAACAGCCTGCAACAAAATGTCATCCTCTCCTTTATTTATTTAATTAGAGCATTTGTACTACCCACTGTTCAACCAAAAAGGCTCTTATAATAGCTTGTGTACAATAAATTAAAACAAGACAATCTAAGAAACATGATACATAAGAGGAAAAGGGACAGGGGAGGAAGAGGGGAAAGGCACACTCAGCCGTAAGCAAGTATGCTCATAAACTCTACTGTATTCAGTGGAGTTTTCTTTCAGGTACTTGTGCAGAGGAATGTTGTCAATGTGCAGTTTTACAGTTCAGTCCTACTCCTCTCTGTTATTATTAGCATTAGTATTAACATTGTCTATATGTTGCCATCTCTATAGATAGTACTTTACAAAGAACAGGTGTGACAGATCTCTGACCCAAGGGGCTTGCAATCTACAATATATTCAGGGAAACCACAGAGAAACTGGGGAAATGGAGGCATGTCAAGAATAAGGACCGTATTGTTGAATAAACTCATTACACGAGTGGGAGCCAGAGTAAGGATTCCTGTGAGGGCAATAGAGACTGATCCTCTCCTTCCCCCAATGTGCATATTTACCATCCCCAAAGCTCCTCTAGAGGAGCCTACAAAACAGATTAGAGGGCACACAGGGAGAGGAGAAGGAAAGAATGCTCAGTCCTGTAAGGAGAATTCTGGAATACCCTTTTAGAAGGATATTGACAAGCTCGAATGTGTGCAGAGGAGGGTGACTAAGATGATCAAGGGTGTGGAAACCAAGCCTGATGAGGAATGGTTGAGGCAGCTGGGTATGTTTAGCCTGGAAAGGAGGAGGCTGAGAGGAGATATGGTAGCCATATTCAAATATCTAAAGGGCTGTCACATGGAAGATGGAGCAAGCTTGTTTTCTCCTGCTCTGGAGGGTAGGGCTTGAACCAATGGCTTCAAGTTACAAAAAAGGAGATTCTGACTACACATCAGGAAGAACTTTCTGATAGTGAGAACTGTTCAGCGGTGGAATGGTCTCCCTTGGGAGGTTGTGGACTTCTTCATTGGAGGTTTCTAAGCAGAGGTTGGATGACCATCCATCATGGATGCTCTAGTTGAGACTCCTGCACTGCAGAGGGTTGGAGAAGAAGGCATTGTCCAGATAGCTCCATTGGTAGAGCATGAGACTTTTAATCTGAGTTGTGGGCTCAAGCCCCATTTTGGGCAAAATATTCCTTCATTGCGGGAAGTTGGATTAGATTATCCTTGTGGTCCCTTCCAACTCTACAATTCTGTGATTCTATGATTAGGACCCTTGGGGTCCCATACAATACTACAATTCTATGATTCTATGATAATTATATTATGACCATCCCAAAAAACCAAAGTGCTGCACCAACGAGCACAAAACAACCCCTCTGTAGTGCCACAAATCCAACTCAATGGTGTAATGTTGGAAAGTGTTGATCACTTCTCCTACCTGGGCAGTTATCATTCCGACACTGATGCAGAAATCCAGTATCACCTGAGCTCTGCGAGTGCAGCTTTCTCCTGATTGAAGAGCAGGGTGTTTGAGGACGGGGATATTCACAGGGAAACCAAAGCACTTGTTTACAAACCTATTATACTACCAACCTCTACTAACCTTACTGTATGCTTGTGAAGGGTGGACCACTTATAAATGCCATCTCCAACTCCTCAAAAGATTCCATCAACAGTGGCTCCAGAAAATTTTACACATCACTTGGGAAGACAGGCGAACTAATGCCAGTGTACTGGAAGAAGCAAAGATCACCCGTGTCAAAGCAATGATTCTTCAACATCAACTTCATTGGACTGGTCATGTTGTTCGGATGCCTGATTATCGTCTTCTGAAGCAAATACTCTATTCCGAACTTAAAAATGGAAAGTGTAATGCTGGTGGTCAACAAAAGTGGTTTAAAGACTCTCTCAAGACAATTTTTTAAAAATGTAATATAAACACCAACAACTGGGAAACACTGGCCTGCAAATGCTCCAGTTGGAGAACAGCCTTTGCCAAAAGTGTCATGGACTTTGAAGACGCGCAAACTCCTGCCCAGAAACCTAAGCCCCCACTGGAAAGACTTGTGGATCCAGAATTGGCCTCCACAGTCACTTATGGATTCACTGTTAAGACCGTGTTCATGGAAGAAAATCTTACTCTGCTACGAGTGATCATCAAAGAAGAAGAAGATATCATGACTGATGGAGTCATAGCCTTAGAACTCTGTTGAATACAACCCTATGAGATTAGATCATAATGCATACTCTGTCTTAGTTACAATGGGAATTGGGAAAATGTTGGGAGAGGTCTCTCTATCCATCCCTTGCATCTCTCCATGGGCCACACTCCTCACCAGTTCTGCCTTTGCCTTCCTTGACTACTTTTACCTGATTGGCATATTACTCTCAACAATGATAACACCTATTGCACCCCTGGAAAGAGAGGTGTGTGTGTGTGTGTGTGTGTGTGTGTGTGTGTGTGTGTAAACCCCTCTGGTGTTTGTGCCCAAGGTAAGAATCCCATCTACTGCCCAAACTACTTTTGTCCTTGGTCCTTGGTCCTTTTGTTGTTGGTTCCATCCCATGTGGGAATGTGGCCTTCAGGTTAAAAAATAGCTCCCTGCTGGTGGAATAGGGAGGTGTCCCACAGGACTTCTGGAACAGTTAAGCTTTAGCGAAGGAAATAAGGGAGGTAGTTGCCTAGAGCAATTTCAGGAAGTGGTTGGAGGAATTATGGCAACAACAGAAAATGGGAGGCATCATCTCAGGAAGCAGAAGACCTTTGGCTGGCTCAGGGTAGTAGAGCTGGAGGAGGGAAGGTCACAGGAAGGGACATGTCAGGAAATAAGGTCAGGGAGATAAAAAAGGGGCAAAGCCATTGAGAGCTTTCGAGAGGAGGACAGGAATATTGTGTAGGAGCCAGGAGCGGATAGGAAGCCAGTGAATGGGTTTAAGAAGCGTGGGGGGAACAGGGTCAGAGTGACAAAAACGGTAAATATTTTTGCCGGAGTGCATGAAGGTGAGAAAACAGAAGACCAGAGGGAGAAAAAGCAAGAAATTTCCACTGAAGGGATAGAGATGAAGGGTTGTCTGTAGTGTCCTCATTTTTGTAACATAATGTTTACTTAGAAGTAAAGCCCCATGGAGTTCAATGGGACTTGGGTTCTGATAAGCAATCTTTCAAACGCACTTGCTGGCTGCCCAAGTATACTTAAGCTTGGAGAAAAAGCTAACAAATCAAGCGAGGCTTCACTTTGAACAGACTTCCATACGATTGTCTAGAAGAGATAAAATTTCTATAAATTTTGCTAAGCAATGTAACGTGTATTTGTGTAATGTTCATGAAAACACAGCTATCAGGGGGAAGCGTGCCTCAAGATGCACATATTAATGAAAATAACATACAAAAATGCATTATAATAGTGAAAAGTGCTTGCCAAAGTGTACATATTAGGCAAAATGCCATACGAAGTGTGGACTGTAGGAGAAATTTGCTTTTAAATTAATTCTCACAAGCAGCTTTTTGTAATATAAGCAAATAATTAAAAGTGATCTGCTGTAAAGATGTGCAGAACTGAACCTAAGATTGGGGGGGGGGGGATGAGAACCAGACTGAAGCTGACCAATTTGCTTTTCCTAATTTTTACCACAGTCTTTTTAATCAGGGATGAGAATATCTCATCCACTCCAGGCATGCACAGTAGTCAGGGATGACGGAAACTGTAACCCAACAACACATGAAGTCCCATAGGTTCCCCATCCCTGTAAATCAGGAATGGGGAACCTGTGGCCCTCCAGATGTTGTGAGGCTGCAACACTTGCTGTCACTGACCACTAGACATGCTGGCTGGAGCAGATGGGAGCTGAGAGTCCAGCAGCATTTGGAGGGCCACAGATTCCCCTCCCCTGCTGTAAAAAGAAGCCCACCTTCGTTTTTATTGAATCCCATGACTATTAAAACAGGAGCTTTTGAAAAAGCTACCTAAAATGAGAAACAGTGAGTAAAACTGGGCAGTAGCTATCTATGAAAATCCCCCTTTTTTTCAAATGATGACTGCATTTTGTTTTGGGAAGTGCAGGCTTCATAGATTTGCCTTCAAATGCAAACAGAACCAAATGTTCCGTTCTGTCCCTAGTTTAAATAAGGTGACCCAAAGAAAATAATTTTATTGTTAATTCTAAATAACAATTTTAACAACGAAACGATTTAAATTGTACGATTCCCCCAAACCAATCTCATGATTAGGTAGGCTGGCTTGATCTTTGACATTTCAATGTTAACAATTCCCTTTGCTCTATTTTCATTTTGTTTCAGGAGAGGAATGCAGGGGTGGGGGAAGACAATGCAGTTAATTTTGGAGCAAAGAATCCTCCCTACTTCCAAGTTTCCTTGTCAGACTAACAAGGGAAAAGGAGAGCATATAGCTATTTCCGAGATCCATTAGCTTGCTCTTTCCCCTCGCCCACAGCCCCACAGCCTCTCCATTTACCTTCCAGACTCACCAACTCTGGTTCTGCCTTTCCAGTCCAATAATTAACTGCCATGAATCAGCTCAAATGCTCTGGGGATGGGTTCATCTTCTGCCATCCCCACACCATAGACAGCAGGAAAAAAAGGGGTGGATGGGGCTTTTAACACCTTTTCTGACCTGGTAGCCTTGCTCAGAGACAGTGGAATTGTTACCATTCCAAGGTCTTTTGCAAGAGGCTCCAGATCTCCTGCTCCTTCTTTAAAAGAAAAAAAAAAACCCCACAATCTGTTTTACTGTGCTGTTAGGGTGCCTGGGTGCACTACTGAGACAGCTCTTGAGGAAGAACTACTGTACAGCCTTTCATGAAGGAGAGTAGCTCAGTGGCAGAGCATCTCCCTGGAACATGCAAAGTTCCATGTTCGGTCATTGGCATCTCCAGGCATGACTGGGAGTTTCCCATGCCTTGAGACCTTGGACCTTGAGACCTTGAGACTGACAGTCAGTGTTGACTATACTGAGCTAGAGGCAGCTTCCTTCGTTCCTATGGTCATCCATCATGTTAATTAACCAAGGGCGTCTGTACTAATAAATTAGCACGTGCCACTTTTGTGCATATTTGTTTCAGAGGCCTGTGACTCAGTGCCTACCGGTGCTTATCAGTGCCCGTGCCCCCAAATATTTGAGCAAGGCAAGCCGCAGAGTGGTATGGGGAACTTTGCACTTACTCTTTGAAGGGCTTGTGCTAGCTATGTACTGCTGTAAATCAAAACAGCTTCATAGTCTCATCCTCCCCTTTTCCTCTTTAACACATTCTAGGTGTGAGCCTTACCCTGGAGCTAGGCACTTCTTTTACCTTTAGAAACAGTCAGGCAGGGATTTTAATTACAAAGCTCATTTTCGGGAGGCACAAAGGTCTTGAATGGGAGGAGGCAGTCCCTGGCAGCAGGATGTAGGTGCCATGGTGTCTGAACCATTGTGTTAGCTTGCCCAAGGAAGAAGATGCTGCCCAGGTCTTCTCTCTTTTTGCTACGGTTCAGCATGTCCTGATCCACCAGTGCAAAGGAGGGCTTGTGGGAGTGGTTGGGTGCAGGTGCACCAAAGAAGGATGCCAAAAATGCCAGAGTAATCACTTCAAGTGCTTTATTAAAAGAAAGGTGTAGACTTACAACAAATCAGCATGACAGGTCTCCCAGCCTCTACAGATACAATATCTGCAGCGAGGGAAGAGATTGTCCACACCCAAGCAAATGTTTATACATTCTTTAAATACAAAGCACCATACATCACTTTGCCCAAGACTTCCCATCATTAAACCTGACTAGATGAAGGCATAGGTGGCACAAAACCAAATCTTACAGGTAGTTTTCCTTTCTGGGTCAGAGTCCAGTACCCCAAACTCCACAGATAAGGGCAACATCAAAGGAAGCCAATTAGCTTATATCAAAGCGAGTGAAGATTAACATATTTCAGCTCATTGTTACGACATCTACCAATTAATTGTGGGGTTATTTTGACTACCAAGATGGCGTTTGCAGAGCTTCCAGAGTTTCCAGTTCACCTTTGTTTCAACACAAAGCACCACCATTACAAATGGCCCCGGAGAGTAACATTGCAGCTTCCAATGAGAACCACCTGGTTCTCAGCAAGAACCAGGTGACCCAAAGTCTTATGGTCCTTTTTTATTGTATGTACGGTATTCAAAAGAAGAGCCCTGCGAGGTCAGACCAAAGG